GATGAAGAAAGGAAGGCTTAGGGATGTGACGGTCACAGAGGGTCTGTCTTCTCCCCTGTCCTACAACACCTCATTTAAAACTCCAATTCCTCAAGTCTGCACCCGTGATTCCCTGTGACCCAGCCGGCCTTTTCTCTTTCTGGAACAGTAAGGTCAAGGCTAGGGCCCAGCCAGGTAGTGGGCTCCAGCCGGCCTTTGCTTGCTCCCCCACCTGTGCCTCCCTTCCTCGTGTGTGTGCGCGCGCACGCACGCGCAGCCTTGGGGGACAGGCTGTGCTGGCGTCCCCCGGCCGCAAAAGGGCCATACCTCACTGTTTCCTACCCCCGCATCCCCATCCCGCCCCGGTGCTGGCTCCCAGCCCCTCACCTGGTGCTCAGCCCCGACCGGGGGCTCCTCCCAGACCTGTTCAGAGCCCCACAGGAACTGCATAGCAGCCGTGGCTTCCTGGCGCCTCTGCCGGGTCAGCAGGAAGCGCGGGGTCTCAGGCATGTAGCACATGAGCAGCATCATGAAGGATGCAGGCACGCAGCCCAGGACAGCCAGCCAGCGCCACTCCAGCACCCAGCCTGGTTGGGGGATGGGGGACGGGGCGGGGGGGGGGGTGGTCAGATATCAGAGCCGGAGTGGGCCAGGCTGGATCTTACCGGGACTGGCCTGCCCTCTCGCCAACCCCAGGGACTCAGCTTCAAGGGTGGGGGCCGCACTACCTCTGTGTGGCTACGCTCGTGTCTGTCACCAATATTGTTACCAACTGGGGTTGATAAATATTGTAGAAACGCTGGTGGGCACATCATGATGCTACATATGCTCAGTGAATATTTATGTGGCAATTAAAAACAGAATGAGGCACTTGCTCTTTGTCTAAAAGGTAGGGGAGGGAGAATAAGTATGCACAGACTCTGGAAGGCCACCAAAAAGCAGGCGAGGTTGGCTCCTCCGGAGAGGAAAGGGGATGGAGTGGGAGAGACTTTTCATGGAACACCAGTGGATCAACAGTCACAGAAACCGATAAAAAAAATGTGCTGGTTAGGATGAACTGGAGGGAATTCCGTAGGCATACTGACACCCATGTGTCTGTCCCAAATGTCAGTGTCTGTATTTGGCAGGAGCTTTGGCACCCGCAGGGCCCCCAAAGCTACCAGACTGCTGGCAGGACTCTGAATTAGAGTCTGGATGGTAAGTGGGCAAAAATCAAAGAGCCCAGACCAGGATGTCACCCACTGTGAAGAACCAGAGGGCACATACTCCAGGCCCTCTGGGTCTCAGCACAGGCCTTGATAATTCTTGTTAACAGCGTTGGACTAGGTGAGGTTATCTCTGCTTAAAACCAGGGGAAGTGAGGCTTTCTGGGGCAGTGTGACCAGGCCAAGGTCACACAGCCAGTAAGCGTCCCCTGACATGGGACTGTCTGATGTGAAGCTTCTCTCCACCCCAGTTCTGGTGAAAATATGTCTGCCTCCAGAAGCTTCCTCATGCTGACCCCATCTCTGCCCCTCGGGTCCCCTGGAACCCTCCTCTTTCACACTGCAAATCCAGTACTGGTATTTCTGAGAGACATGCTTGGGCCTTCCAAGCTCCTGAGCTGAAGAGTTTTAGGGGTGCCCCAGCCACCCCCTTGAATCCTCAGTTTTTCACTGTGCAGTGAGGTACTGACCTAACCGCTCAGTCCCCACTCCCCAGCCCCCTTGGAATAGGCTCCTGCCCTGGGAAGATGAGGACATCACCTTCTCCAGCTCTCCCTGGAACGTAGTTGCAAGACCCACATATCCCAGGGGCTCAGGGAGGTGGTCTGTGTGACAGGCTGTGTGACTTTGGGCAAGTCCCTTGACCTCTCTGAACTTCAGTGTCTACATCCATAAAATGGTCACACAGCCATTAATGGGGATCAAAAGAGAGACTGTGAAAACTACCTGCCAGGTAGGCCAGGAGGATGCCTATGACGACCATCAGTTGCACACAGGAGCCCAGCAGCCCCCTCACTGAGGGGTAGGAGATTTCAGAGATATATACCTGTTGGTAACGAAGAGGAAACTTTACTCAGGGCCGAGAGTTCTTAAAACTGAAAAGCCTCAGCCATTCACAGTTGAGGAGAGCCTCAGTGTGTGGGGGGGGGGGGTTGCTGCATGCCAGGTGAGCCTCTAATTGCAGGTCCCAGGTCAGCAAAGCCCTCTCCATACCTCCCCGCCTCTCCAAGTGAGCAGCAGCGGGTGTTTTAACTGGGATTAAGGATATATACATGGCTTGCTGTGTGTGTGTGTGTGTATGTGTGTGTGTCTGTGTGTGCGTAGAGCACACAGCTTTTCAAACTTTCATTTCATTGTATGACTACCCTGGATAAAATGCAGGTTCTGATGCAGTAGGTCTAGGGTGGGGCCCAAGATTCTGCCTTTCTTTTTTTATTTAATTCATTTATTTGAGAAAGAGCACAAGCGAGGGAGAGGCAGGCAGAGGGAGAAGCAGGCTCCCCGCTGGGCAGGGAGCTCCATATGGGGCTCCATTCCAGGACCCCGAGATCATGACCTGAGCCAAAGGCAGACGCTTAACGACTGAGCCACCCGGGTGCCCCCAAGATTCTGCCTTTCTAACTAGCTCCAGATGACACCCAGGTGACTCCAGATGACCAGTGGTGCCCTTGGAGTGAAAGACAACTCTTTGCCTCAGTTGCTACCATTGACTGCCACTGCTTCCTCTGGACTCAGGGGCCAGAAAGGTCTGCCCACACTTCTATGTTATTCTGTACCTTATGCCCATGACTAAGATGGGTGTGTTTTTTGTCCAAAACATAAAAACCAAAACCCAAAACATAAAATCCGACTCAGCTGCTGACTGCTGCCCAGCAAATGCGGGTAAAATGAGTGGTGGGTGCAAAAGGATGACCAGGGAGGACACTGAGCCACTCTATTAATCTTGACCAGGTTGGCGTGTGGGTGGTAGACCATCCAAGCCCCGTAGCCAGCAGAACAGTTTACTGGTCACCCTGCAATTTCAGCTGCCAGGGTCCAAGCCCTCCACAAGCCATGCCAGGGCTATACGTGCGGTCTTGCTTAATCCCCACAACCACTGCATGAGTAAGGCCATTATTCCCATTTTCCAGGGGAGGAAACTGAGAGGTATACTCTGCCCCGGTGAGTGACAGACCCGGGATTTCACCTAGGTAGATGGCTCCCGAGTCAGCCTGGACAGTGGTGCCTGGGGAGATGGGAAGAGAGAAGAGGGGAAGCAGCTGCAGGACTAGTTCCTGAGGAGTGAAGGGGAACTGCAGAGAGATCAACGGCCTTTGGCGGGAGGACAGACCAGAATAGGATTTTCCTGCGAAACTGTAGTCAGTAGTCTGTATGACAATGGGAGATCTAAGCCTCACTGCAGGCTTCTGGGACCATCCACAGATGGCACTCATTTGCAGAGCAAAAGAGAGGCCTGGTTAAGTGGCACAGTCCTGGGTGTGAGTAATAGCTTCACCACCGACTAGTTGTGGCTCGACAAAGAGCTTCAGTTTCTGAAGCTCCCTTCATCTGTAAACAAGGATAACAGCAGCTCCTTCCCAAGGCCCGTCGCCGGGGGAAGGAAGATAAAGCTGGCGAGGGGCACGGTGCCAGGCACCCAGGAGGCCGAAGCCAGGGAGAACCACGCCCCCGGGTCCGCTCCTTCCCGGTCCCAGGGCGCGAGGCTGGGGGACACTCACCGGGGCTACGAGCGAGGCAATACCGCAGGCCAGGCCGGTTAGGAGGCGGCCCCCGAGCAGCATCCACACGTTCTGGGCCGCGGTGATGACTGCAAAGCCGACCACGAAGGGCACGGTGCAGAGCAGCAGGCTCAGCTTGCGCCCGGCGCGGTCCACGAGCCAGCCGCCCAGCACGCCCCCAGCCGCGGCTCCCAGGGTCACGATGGCCTGGGGGCGGAGCGACCGCAGGTTGGAGCGGGGGCGCCACAGGGCCGCGGCCCAACCTCGCCCCCAACCCCAACCCCGGCAGCCTCCGAGAAGAGGGGATGGGGGACCCGGGCTGGCGGTCGGGGGTGGGGGGGAGGGTGACCCCGGCAGGAGAGCCGGGACGCACGCGGCCGAGGGTCTTAGTGCCCGCCCGAAGCCAGGTAAGCGCAGGGGTCCCTCGCGCGTGCGGTGGAGGAGAAGGGGCCCCGGCGGGCTGGAGGGTGAGCCCGAGGCCTCACCCCGAACCAGGAGGCGGCGGCGTCATCGAGGCGCAGGGCTGGGGACGCGGCGCGGCGCAGGCTCGGGATGGCCGGGGAGCTGTAGCCGAGCGCGAACCCGAAGCTGAGCGGGCCCAGGGCGGCGGCGAAGGCGGCGAGGAAGACCCGGCGGCTGAGGGGAGCGCTGCGGGGACAGGGCAGCCGGTGAGCGGCGCCGGCCTGGGCGCAGTAGGAGGGGGCGAGGCCGCGTCCCGTGCCCGGGTCCCCCCACCCGCTCACCTGCCGCCGGGCGGCCCCAGGAGCGGCTGTGTCTCCTCCTGGTCCTCCGGCGTCATGTCTGCAGCCAACGACTGCTTGGTCAGCTCTGTTGCCTGAACTGCCACGGATCCCGCGAGTGCAGCCGGCACCCGCCTCTCACGGCAGAGCCGGCCAATAGGCGGGGAGGGGCGGCTCTGGGGCGGGATGGGAACGACCAGTGGGAACGCCAGGCGGGGTTAGTCTTGCGCTAGGAGCCACCCTCCAAATCAAAGCCGACCAATGGGAGCAAAGAGCCGGTTGGCGAAGCTCATTGGATCCGCCCCTAGGACCTGGCGAGCCAATGTTTAGGTGGGGCGGAGTTTGTATGTGGGCCTGGAGTAGAACCATCCAATAGGAGTGTGGTGCGAACCCAGAGGCGGGATCAGAAAGCTGCCTCAGGCGGAGCCAGCCAATGAGGGCGGAAGGCGAGGATCGCATCTGCTCCTGGAGCCGCCTCTCAGTCAAGCTTCAACCAATGAGGCTACCAGCAGGACGAAGGTGGGGCAGGTGCACCGCCCACAGGACTTCCCGCCCCGACTCTGGGCAGTTGCGTCTGTCCTGCCTGGTCGGCTCTGCGGTTCCTGCTCTGCGTTGACCGGTGCCCTGCGGCCGGGGTTCAACGCGCCTGGCCCAGCTCAGCTCACTGACAGACGCAGGGAGGAGTGTCTCCAAGCGACTGTCCTGGGCCGCTCTCTTTCCTCGCGGAACCTGGGCTGCCGGGGGCGGAGGCGTGGCCCTGCGCGCCGCAGCCCATCTCGGTGCCGGTCATAACTCGGAGTCCGCAGATCGCTGACGGCTACGAGCCGACAACCACCAGGACCTCGAGGTGCTGAGGACCTGTATTGGGCAGGGCCCTTATATGTGTGACTGATCGGGGCTTAAATGGTGAGCCCTAGGCTTCCTGTTAAGTTCCACTCACTTCACAGGTCATCCTGACTCTTGAATCTTCATCTTAACACCTGCCGTCTTTGAGTCTCCTGCGGCTATTAATAGCCAACTTCTTGAGCACCCAAGTGACTGCTGGAGGTAGGATGATGTCAGGGCTCTGAAGGCACATGTGAAGCACTCAAATGCTAGCCCACATGATTACGAAAGTTGTTTAACCTAGTGCAGGCTCCTGATTGTACTATCTGTAAAGACAGGCAACCGCCCCTCTATGCTTCCACAGCATCTTGTGCGCGAGTTATAAATTCTTATCCGAGCACTTATCACTGCCGTGTGATCACTTGTTTACTTCCCTCCCTCCCTCAATGGATGTGACCTCTTCCTCCACACAGTGGGCCCTTGGTGTTTGCAGAGTGGACGAATGCCTCCAACTCCATGGGCAAACTGCTGCATTTACACAGTGCAGTAACCCAGCCAGGGCGGTAGGCAGAAGGGCTTATGCAGACAGGATGCCCCAGGGAGCCCAGCTAGGACCAGCCCTCTGAGCCACAGGGCCCTACAAACCTGCTCCTGCCCCCTGGCTGGTGGGCTTGCTTCCCAAGGGTGCAGCATTCACTTCTTGGCCTTTGTAAGCAGATACTGCTGCCAGAGCAGCCTCCTATCCCCCTTTTATAAGCTGATCACCATCGATCTGATTAGTAGGGTCCATTTCTTGCCCTTTCTACATTCACTCCTCAGATTTTGACTCTTGTCAAATCATGGGGCAGTTCTGATGCTTCCAATTTCTTTGGAAGAATGTTCTAAATCACCCTGGGGTTTTTTTTTTTTTTATTCCAGGCCGAGAAGCAAGAAACTCCAGGAAAAAAAAAAAAAGATGACAGAAAGAACACACAAACTCATAAAGCTTACAAATTAGTTTAACATGAAAAACACCAGTCAGATCCAACTGACACAAGGCACTCAGCCTGACTCTGCATGGTGGACAGGGGACAGAACAGAGCTCTGGGGTCAGAGAACTCAGAGTTTCAAATCACTGTCCCTTTCTGAGCCTCAGTTTACTTATTTGAAAAGCAATAATAATAAAATCTAACTCCCAAAACTTTTCACGAGGTTGCGATACAGCATAAGGGGCAGAAGGAAACACAGAGGAGGAACGGCAATGCTGACTGCAGCGAGGGCATACCTGGCTATACCTAGAAAGCACTGTAGGCACTACTCTTGCCCTCCTGCCGTCTGCTGAAGGGAACCAGGCAGCCTTCACTGGATCCAGCGTTTTGGGCTGTTTCCTGCACAAACACCACAGAGGCAGTTGTGCAACAGGCAGACAAGCGAGCTCTCCCCACAGTGTGCAAGGCCCATGAGGAGGTAGGACCCAAACTTCTGTAAAATCTGTCCAGTCAAGGTCATGTCAAACACAGCTCCCTGCACTCCCGGAGAACGCGTGCAGAAGAACCTCAGGGATGCTTTCATGGGGGGAATGATTTAAAGTTTCTTTTGGTGGGTAATTTAGGCAAGAAGAGAGCTAATAAAATGGAATCCGTTAGACTAAAGCCAAAGGTAAATTACCTCCTTCACACAGATTAAAATTTTTACAGTGTCAGTGCAACTAGGTTTCCCCCTTGGATCTCCCGTGGCTAGAGGCTGACATTTCACGGTTTCATTTGCACTTGGTCAAGCCCACGTTTTCTTCTCACTTTGAGGAGGGGGCAACAGAAGGCAGGTGATGACAAGAGAAGGACAATCATTTGGTTCACGTGGAAGAGCAAAGCAGACCTGAACATGAGAAGGGAATTTGAGGATGATGATTTTGGTGACAAGGAGTGACTATTGCCTGGCTGTATGATTTCAGAGTAACTACAAAACCAAACAAAATAATCTTAAGACTCTTAACAGGCTTTGTGAGACACAAGGAGGGAACAGGAGCTTCTAAGAACTAACCATTCAGCTTTTCTCGAAAGTCTACAGGCAGGGACACAGCTGGTTCCAAACTCAGTGAACTGAAACAGCAACAGGGGCCAAATGTGCAGAAAGAAAACTTATTTATGATAAATTTAAAAAGCAATGGCTTTTCTTTATAAAAGAAACACAATATGTGACATAAATCAAAACCATAATGAAAAAATAATCTTTCCATCAAAGTATATAAAATACAAGAGAAGGTTGCAGTAAATAAGAATGAACATTTTTGATTTATTCAAAGTCTCAATCTAAAACCTCAATGAAATCTACTACCTTTATTACAAGGGGACTGATGGTTCCTGAACAGAAAGAAACAGAGGTCAAGAAAGATGGCACCGGACATTGGAGAGATCCAAACCGGCCAGGTGTGCAGAAGGTTTGGTCCAGTAGATCACGGGTGGGCTAAAAGCCACATTTTGTTGAGAAATGCTGTCAGAACTGGTTAAAGAGTATAAACCTCCATAAGAAAATGAAAGATGGCAAACTCGATCCGGACCCTGTTTACTTCAGGTCAATAATGTCTTCATCCGAGGAAGCTGTGAGCTGAAAGGGGCTACTGCCCCACACGGGGCTGCCTTCTCTGTCCGCCACAGGGTCCTGGTCAGAGCCCATCGAGTGGTAGCGTCCCTCGGGGTTGGCTTCTGGAGCAGAAGGACTTTCCAAGGAGCCCGTGGTGATCCTAGAAAAGTCACGTAAGGGATCCCTGGAGAGCACTAGTGACCTGGGCCCCTTCTGTCAGGCAGTTTCCTGCTCATTTGAGCTCATAAAGCCTGTATCCCCTCACCCCCACCCATTAGTGGGGAAAGGTGGGGACATGCAGGAGTCAGCCAGCCCTACCTCATGGGCTGTTGGGAGTTTTATAGGCCAGAGGTGACACATAGGAGGTGTTTGAGGTGTTTTTTACCTTTCTAAAGGGCAAATTGGGATAATGTCACTCTCTGCCTAAAACCCTCCTGGGTTGGGGCTCCCTATGGCCTGAGGATAAGGCTGAAACTCCTACCCACAGGACCACAGACCACAGGATCTGGCCCTGGGGACCCTTCTGCCTCCTCCCAGCCCATCCCACCTTGATTTTTCTCTTGTACTCAGGACACTCTCTTGATAGCTGCAAAACCAATTTGACCAAGTTCAGGGGGTTCATTCATTCAACAAGTACTCATTTGGCCTGTGAAAGCCCCCGGGCCAGCCTTTGGCCACTCAACAGGCCGTGCCTTTCTGAGCCTTTGCCCCTGCGGTTCCCCTCGTTCCTTCTAATTCAATCAAAGCTTGGCTCAATGCTACTTCCTCAGAGAAGCCCTCCTGACACCCGCTTCCCAGAGGAGAACTTCTACCCACGCCCCCCAACTCTTACATTTTTAAAAATTCCCTTACAGCACTTGTCACTATTGGAGACGATTTAATTTGCTTAATTGTTTACAGGTTTATGGTCTGTGTCTCCACACTAGAATGTAAAGTCCAGGAAGGCAGGACTTGCCGCACAGTAGGGGCTCGGTTTGTGGGATTAAAGCATCTGTGAGTGCTGCCCCCTCTCGGCCAGGCTAATGCCTACTCGATCTATGGACCTGGCTCAGCCTTTCCTGGTGTTTGAGAGCCTCCCTGCTCCAGGTGGGGGGGTGGCTGGCACTCCTCATTCCTCTGCATCACCTGCCACCCCGGAATGCTGCACTTCCTAGAGTGTTTGGTTGGCCTTCCCCTCTGGCCCGTGGACCCCCCAAGAGCGATCTTCATATCCCCAACATCCAGCTCAGGGCCGGGTGCCCTAAGAATGTGTGTTGAGTGAATTAATGCAGCCTGGACATGCGCCCCCTTACCCTCCGTACAGGAGCTTGAGGGACACGGAAGCTCTTAGGGGACAAATCAGTGGGATTTAACAAACGTTCATTGACATGGGATACTGAACTGCCATCCCAAAAGGCTGTACCTGCTCTATTCCCACCAGAAGCATTAGGAGAGGGCCTATGATCTGTCGCTGCTACTGAGCATTTTCATTTAAAAATACCTCTGTCGGGGTGCCTGGGTGGTATAGTCAGTTAAGCATCTGACTCTTGGTTTCAGCTCAGATCGTGATCTCGGGGTTGTGAGATCCAGCCCCACGTTGGGCTCCATTCTTAGCATGGAGGCTGCTTGAGATTCTCTTTCCCTCTCCCTCTGCCCCTTCCACTCATGCTCGCTCGCTCACTCTCTCTCAAATTAATAAATCTTTAAAAAAATCTCTCTCAATCTGGTGAGGAAAAAAAAAGAAAGAAAGAAAGAAAAAGAAAGAAAAAAAATCTCTTTATGTATTTTTATGAGCATTTGCTGAATCGTAAGTGAGGTTGCCGCCTTGCCTGAGACCCTCCCTGGGCCAGCCTAGGGGTCCTCAGAGAGGAGCTGGATGCTGACTGTCTGCCCGTGGCATCATCAGTCAGCAGAAAGGGCCTCATGGCAGTGCTGTGACCCAAAGGGCCACCACCCTGAGCAGGGACGGCTGGGGACGGCCTATACCTGTCACTGCTAGTTGATCTTGCTGTCCCTGGCTTCGGGCTTCCTTGGCTTTCTTCTAATTGCTTCCGGGCTTTTGATTTGGGCTTTGGTGTTCCTTCTGACCTGGGTCCAACTTCATCAGAGAGGCCTAGATTATAGGGGAGAAGCACAGGTCAGAGGTTAGTACCACTGGGCTGCCATGGGGATAGAAAATGTCTTTTTTCTTGGTTGGCTATTGGTGCATTATTGGGATAGAGTCAGGAAGCATTGATAAATTATATATTTTAAAGTAACTGGTTTTCTTGTTGGTGGAAGGTTTTTTTTCTGATCCTAAAGAATATATATATGAAGGAAGGGAGGGAGGGAGGAAGGAAACTCAGAAGGGTCTAGAGGAGGAGAGAAAAATCCATGATCCTACCACTGGAGACTATAATTCTCCAACTCTGAGGCTCAATTTCAGAAAAGCACAGTGGTTTGTAACACAGCGGCTGGCAGATCAAGCTTCCATAGGGCATAGTGGGTTAAAATAGCAACACGCATACTTTGAAAGCACAATGGAAGGCACCAACCTCTAAGACCGACCGACTTTGCCAGAGTCAAAGCCTGCCCGGTCAGGTGGCCTGCATCCCTGCCCCAGTTGTCGGGAAACAGGACTGCAGGCCAGGGATGCCCTAAGGTGAACTGTCCTTGCAGTTTTAGGCCATGCAGGTCCCTATTAGGTTTCAAACCACTTCTTACTGGTCTAGCACATCACTTCCTTTTTCTTCACTTTGTTTTCACAATTCAGAACAAAAGTCTTTCTAGCAGTCTCGCCTCTGCACGACTATCACGGTACTTCGTGCTTTTCCGGTCTGGTCTCCCATCAGTGTCACCGAGAGAGAAGGATCTACCAAATATCTCACGTCTGTGCCATCCCTACAGACCTGTCCCCGTGGTCTCTGGGCTTCAGGAAGCCATAAGTGAACTGCACCACGAATATCAAAAACAGGGTGAATTTAAACTTTCAAGTACACAAATATAACACATTATCTGAGAACTGGAGGTTGTAAATCCTTCTAGATACTCTCTAGGAAATCCTACATATAGAGATACTTATATTTTAAGAAATTGTGTCAGACTAGATCTACTGTTTTGTAAACTGCCTTTTCTGCTTTTAACCTGGTTTGGGCAGCCTTCCACACCAATAAATACAGACTGACACATCGTTGTTGTGGGTAAACTGTATACTATTCCCAGGTGTAGCTGCACTATAATGGGTTTATAAATCCCTTGTTAAAGGGAAAGTTTCTTTTTTAACTCATTGTTTTCGAGGATGATTAACATCCAAGATGAAACCAACTGGCCTATTTACAAACAGCAAAAACACAAAAACGGCCCGCCATTACCCAGCAGTTCCCTGCGTGTCCTGCTGGCTATTTCTTTAATCTCCATGCGGGACAGGGACAGGGAGTGAGTGACGGGAATGGCAGCGATGCCCAGGCCGATGGCCGTGGGCGGGGTGACGGCCTTGGAGACCAGAGGCGACTTCAGAGGTCGTTCGATGCTTCTGCCCACAAGGTTTCTGAGTGGAATCTTGTACAGATTTTTGGACGGAGTTTCACCTGAAATATGATTGAGAAAAGAACATGAGAACTTTAAGCAAAGTCTGTACTATTTACAAGGGTGACTTCTGGTTCC